TTATTATTTGTAATAATATTTAATTATTATAAATTTCAAAGTACAGTATTTGAGTGACCACACTTTCATGATAGGTGTATAATGCTTTATCATTCTAAATAGAAATTTGAATATTTAAAGATATTATTTTTCTTTGTTAACAGCTCAAAAGGACTTTGAGACTTTCACCTTGCTCAAGATGACCTTGGTTTTGGACAGACATAACTTTGCTGTGGACCTTCATCAGTAACTCAGCTAAGCTCTCTTCTCCTCAGCTCTTCATTTGTACAAGGAGGATAAAACCAGCATCTTTCTCTCTCTCTCCAGATAATAGCTATTTTAGGACAAATAATACTTTTATCTTTTTTTTTAAAAAAACAACCATACAGTATAACTGTCCCTCTTTGGGACTTCTAGGAGCATGATAAGAATAATTTTTTTCACACTTTAAAAATGAGTAAAAGAACAAATGATAAAGTTCATCACATTTGTTACTCCTTTTAGAATAAAATTCTAAAGATCTCATAAATTGAACAAAAGAAAGCAATTTACAACTTCCACTGAGAAGAAACTGGTTGAACAAAATGGTTTTAGACTACAGCCCACATTCTGGCTACTCTTTGAAGTGTCAAACCTTCCAATTCCAGAAGAGGTTACTTGGACCACAGAACAAGGTTCTTCAATGATGTATGTGGCAGGAGACAGTAGTAATACACTGAAATGGGGAGCTGCTGACTGTACACAAGGGAAAAAAACTCTGCAAGATGAAAAAGTATTGGAACAAGTATTCCCACAAGGCTGTTGCATCTCAAGACTCAAGTGGACAAAACACTAAGTGAGCTGCTCTGAAGTCAATGTTGACACTGTGCTCTGCACAAAGTTGGACTAGATGATCTTCTGAGATCATTTACAACTGGAATTATTTTGATTTACCTGGCTACTCAAATGTACTTTTTTTTTTCCTCCTTGTACCCTCTGAATGAGATTAAGATAAGGATAAAATACTATAGCAAACCCCTCTTTTATGAAAAGTGGCAGGATATGGTTTAAGCACAAGATTAAGATGTATAGCACATTTTTTTTATCTGTCAAGAGGTGATTAACATGCAAAGTAGAGTTTATAAAAAGTTATCGCAAAGACAAGTCTTTTCGTCAGCAAACAATTAAAAAAAAGATTTTGCCATAAAGGAACAGATCTTCCTACAAGTACTTCTGACAGTGCCTTGCTAGGAAAAATTATGGTATAACAGACATGAAATTTTTCTGTATGAATAAGAGATTTTGTTATATATCCTACTAAACATGACAAGCGCCAACAAACTTCTCAGATGTACAAAATGGATTTCCGATAATTTTGGCTATTTTAGCAAACCTTATGCCCGCAATTAATCAAGGGAAACCAAGGAACTGCCTCAAAAAAACCATTTTAAATGGTGACTTTTTTGTAATAAAGAGTTAAAGTTTAAAACAGTTCAAAAAAGAAAACACCACTTTTTTCTTAACTTAACATATATGAGTGCAACACAGCAAGCTAATGCTTGCAGAGCTAAAGAGACTATGTTACAGTGGGTTTAGCGTAGTTATATTTTCCTTAAGAGGTGAGGAACAGCTGCTAAGTTAAGGTCCAAAAAAAAAAATTTATTTTTAACATTTGGCAAAGGTATATAGTTCTCTGTACAGACATTTCAAAATGTATGTTGAAAATAAATACGAAATGTCAATATTTAGCTTTATTCTGGATCTTTAATGAAATTACTGCTTCTGTGGAATATTCTAAATTGTATTACAACTTCCATTGCACAGTCTGGAAAACTGAAGGGGATAAAAGAAACATTTATTAGTCAGTACAAGATAAAGCAACAGCTAGCCAGGTCACCCCACTGGCCATATTTCAGCATGTTTACTTTGATTTCATTCATAGAAATCCATTTAATAATAATTAAAAATTGCTAAAATTAAAAATTGCCTAAAAATTGCAATATGGTAGACAGTCATGAAAAACCATACTGCTTACACAAGAATATGTATGTAAAGTTATAAGATCAGTATTGAGAATCACTTGTCTTTCATGTGTCCTACTATATTTATGCAATAATATCCCAGTCCTAAAATGGTCATTAAAGCAGTTGGCATTTAATCCACAGATCTATGAGGGGTTTATTTTTATACAAGGATTCTATAAGACTTTTAATTCTTGCCCATTGACTTTAAGACGACATAAAATGACTTTTTTTTTTTTAATTGATGAGAATTATATGTATTCTTATCTTTAAGTTGCAATCATACACTCCTGTCCTAGAAGGTGTTTGGAACACATGTATCCAGATGAGGTCAGCTAACAAAGAAGTTAACAAGTTTTCTCTTTCTACCAGTGACAGGGCAAACTGCTTTTTAATGCTTTAGCTAGTCAAGGTGAACCCGAGGCTCCTCATCAGAATTCATTTCAACTTCCTGACACATGAAAATAACCTCTGCCCCAGTTATTCTTCACTAGCACAACCATGACTGCTTCACTGACTATCAGCCATAGCAATTTATATGGGCATGGACCTGCCCTGAGGCTGGTTTAAAATTAGTTAATGTGTTATTTTGGACTTTGTTTTTAAATACATTTAATCTCAGTCAAAACACACCATATTAAAATCTTCTATGCCACATGTTCACTATAATTTTTTTGCCAGACAGTTATGCTACTAAAAGGTACAATGAGTAATCATCTTGGACTCACATAGCTACATATACGAGCAAAAGTCCACCCGTACAAAGGCTACTACACCAGCTACTACACCTCTGCAAGCAGTTCTTTTGTTGGTGCTCAGAAAAAGCCGGTACTTCCCTGAAATAGGCTTAACTCAAGTTGTCTAACACATGAAAAGGCACTGGACACCATACTAAGGCAGCCATGCACATGAAGCAGTCAAACCTGACCTAAGAAATCACCTTGAGCTCTAATATACCTATTCTTCTCTCAGTTCATCTAAAATCAAAATACATTTTAATAGAAGTGATCTTGCCAACCAGGATCATAAAAGTCATACACATCCATAGCCAAATCTCACCCCTAAAATCAAGAAATTAATTAGAAGTTGTATTTATAATTCAGGGTATTCTTTCTACTTCTAAGCTTCTAAGGATGTACTTGCCAGAAACATGACAGATATAAATTTTTTTTAATGTGAAACCTGAGAATGTAATTTAATCTGACTGTAGCAGCTAGATATGTATGAAAAACAAACATTACAAGACTTCCAGTGATCTCAAGTACTGGCAGCAACACCATAGGAAGAGCTGTAATTTAGAAATGTTTAGATGGACAAAAAGTCTAGAAATGTTTCGATGGAAAAAAATTTATTTACATTCAAAATAAATATGCCAAAGATTATTTTCTTGAAGAGAACAAAGGTCTTCAAAGATGACATTTGGGTCAAACAACAGTAGCAAAATAATTCTTTAAAAAAACAAAAACCACTTAGTGAGTGAGTGAGTGTGGTATAACAGTAGTGTGAGCTCCTGGGAGGCTTTTCTCCTTAACAGATTTAATAGCAAGTGAGGTCTAAATTAATTACTAGTATAGCCCCAAAAATTATATTTTGACAAATAAAAAGAATTCTATTTCAACATTTCTATTGGAGTGCGAAAACATAAAAAAGCAAAAGGAAAAGTTTTTCTAGAAAAAGTAAGTTAGGAGTAATTAAATATTCTACTGCATCTTTTTTTTTTTCCACAAAAACTACCTAAACTTTCTTCTACTCTTTATGCAATTTAAAAGGGAGCAAAATTGGTTCAGATGTCTAATAGCTTCCAAACAAACAGAAGCTATTAATTTTTCAATTGCCTGTTACATAAAAAAAGTTTGCCACAAAAATGAGAATTAAAAAAAAAAACCACAAACAAACCACAACTGAAAATGCAACTGCAGCCTCAGAATATTCTATTATGAAATTAAGGGAACCCTTAGTGGAATTGTTTAGTAGCTTTAATATAATCTGTCTCACAGGAAATATGATACTACAGCTTTATAGAAGATGAACACTTTTAAAATATTTATAAATTTACATTAATATCATCCATATATACCATGATGCATTTCAATAATTATTCTACAATACAATGGGAGTGCATGCTCAAACAAAACACCTCAGCAGTATTTTAAAGCAGTAAACCACCTAGCCAATTTCTGTACGTTCTGTAGTTTTTCTAATCCACTCTCCCTGTGGCTGAGCAAAATCGAATTGCCTCTCACATTTGCAGACAGCTCTGTGAAGGTGATAATAGAGCTGCTCCCTGCTGTCATGAGGCAGGAAATAGGAAAATGGCATATGGGGCTAGAAAGAAATAAAAAGAGAACTAAACAAGAACAAAAGAGATTTCAACAAAGGACAACTATAACCCAATATGCTTTGCAAGTTAATCTCTTTTCATAATCATTTAACATACTTAATCATTTATCTGCACACTTCTCAAAAACTCAAATGCTTGATACCCAGCCTTCTGTAAAGTTTTATTGCCCAAAACATTTGGAATAGAAATGACACTAAAAGCCATCATATGCAACGCCTATAAATCAATGCCTTCTTAGTTAGTACCCACATTAAGGAGCTGAACCTATTCCAATCTGTTACTAACCGATCTTAGATTTTGTGGCTAAAATGTAGTATCTGAAACAATGCATACTTGGATTATTAGTTGCAAACATGTTGAGTGACACCTGAAGAGCAAAATATTAGGGGAGGATTATGACTGGTTACGTGTACTGACAATATCAAAGACTTCCAGCCTGTTCAAGGACTACTGATATAAGATGCAGAATAAACTAAAAATGAACTTTTAATTTACAGTAAGAATTGTTTTAAATTTTTACTTTTTAATGCAGAATGGGCCTCCACAAAAATCAAGAACTTATACATATTTACAGTGCTTCTATATTAAATCTCTTAAAAAAACAAAACCAGCCTACTATACCTTTCCTTTCACACTCTGAATGGGATCCACCACCACAGCAACAGCTCTTTCTGACAAGGCTTCAAAGCTCTGCTGAGTATTGATATCTACACCAGACAACCAACAGCCAAAGCCAGGGTGACTATGATACCAACCAACTACCATCTCAGGTCTGAAACAAAGAAGACATTGAGATTCTTGAAAATAAAAACACGTAACACAAGAAGAAATAGTAATGCATCAGGGCATAAATTAGGATGAGCTGTGAAAAAAACACCATTAGAAATATTTAAATTAGTCGCCATAGAATGTTGAAAACATAGACATGAATAAATGTGACAAAGAGGGCTATCATTAAGGGATGCACATTAGCAGTAGTAGATCATGCTTTCAGTTTTTCACCCTGTTACCACACCTTCCCTGAACCAGTTTTTACCCTTTCAGCACTTGAGTAAATATCTACTCTTTAGCTCCTTGGCATCGAGGGTTGAAATTTCACGGCAGAAAGTCCATTTCAGACATGGACAACGGGAACCAACGGTGGGAAAGGATTAAATATCAATTAAACCAGCAGTAGAACTAGGAACTCAGTCAAAAAGCAATTTGCACTGTTCTGTTCAGCTGCTGAGCCTTTTGCTAACATTAATTTTGAAGTTTTTCCCACAGTAAAAGAATTTGAGCAAGCAGACGACAACTGTTGAGAGGTAGGAGTGAAATAAAAATTTGTTTAAGTACTAGGATCTTTTACAAAATTTATTCCCCTTTCTTGTCATTAAAATTGCTCATAAATAAGCCAGAACTTTGTAATTTTAAAATCTTAATAAAAAAAAAAATCAATCTTTTAAGCAGGTGCTGTCTACTAACTGCCTATACTAAATTGAGCAGCATTCTAATCTTTCTGTGCAATAATCAAAGCTGTAGGTTTAATATGAATGACAATCTCATGACAACTGAAATGCATGAGGTGGACTGAATTACACGCTATGCTACTCACCTGACTTCTGGGCCAATTATTTCTTTTAAAACATTATTAATAGCCCCTAGATCACTAGCTTAGGGGAAAGCCAGCTGTTTCTTCTAAACAACATGCAGGGAGTACTTGTTACTGTCAGCTCTCTTTAAGGTGACTTACCTTCCTGTCTGTTTCAGCATATCCAACATTTTTGCTTGAAATACAGGATCAACTGCCTCCACACTGACACCCTGATGTAAAAGACAGACAAAAATCATAGTAGTTATACATAAAGCAATATCATCTTTTAACTTGTTACTTTCCACAAACAAAAATTTAAACACCATTCATAGGTATCTGTTTAAAAGAGTATCCCAACTACTTTAGAACTACTTGACAGAATGCTCTTAAATGTAAAAGACAATTTTTATAATTGTATTTCAATGTGATTTTTAAAATGCTGAAAGAAGATTTTGAATTGCCATTTAAGCCATCTCTACTACAAGTAAACATAGTTAAATAGACATAGGAATTCATCTTGTCTTTCTCTTTTTGTTATGCAAACTCTGGCCTGCTGTTTCTCATAAGTTCAGCTCTATAGGTTTTATTCAAGGTAAGTATCACATACCGGCTTTTTGCAGATTCTACTTACACTATGCACATGTATAGAACAAGCTCAGGACAAAAGAATTAAAAAATTTCATTGATGTGCAGCTCTGAGTTACAAAGGGATCCGTACTTCTTTTAAGAACAGTATTTCATTCAAGTTACACAAAAAAAGCATCACAAATTCCAACTACATCCATTGGCTCATCATGTCTTTAAACTATCACTTCATAATGTGAATGTTCTTACTCAAAATTCAAATACATCATTTTTCTCACATCACAAAAATATAATTTAAGAGACATGTCATTGTAAGATATGTCAAAGAGAGCAAGTTTGAAGTATATTTATAGCACCATCACAATTAAGGGCATGATACACCCCTAATCATACCTTTTACATTTTGAATCCTTCCCCTCGCACATAGTATTTCAGTTCTTAAAGTTATCAATTTACAAATCTTGCAAGTGACTTTATACCAATATATTTACACATATGTAAAGACACAACATCTCCATATACTGATATACACACGTACGTACTAGTCTTTGCTAACAAATAAACAAGATCATCTGTTTTAACTAATTATTTTTTTTTTTACTGAAACACTTAAATGCATTAGACATATTTGAATTATACCTAGTAGGTTATACCTTAAGATTGCATAAATGAGGTAAAGCAGAAAAAACATTTAAAAACTACTTACCATAAGGAAAAAACCAAGCAAACAAAATTATCAAGGTCTAGCTGCAAAGAACTCACCGTTCCTGACTGTGGCATTGCAAACACATCAATCACTCTCACGGTGTAATCATCAACAAATTCCCCGAGCATCAGACCCATAACTTCCATAGGGACACCAGCACGACCATGCTTCAGCATCTGGAATTCAGACCAAATGACACTGTATGTTTAACAGGAGGTTCAAGTTTGACTTCGGATAGTTCCTTCAGCCTTTGTTGATCTATAGATAATTTGCAACTTGTAGCGCTTTTGGAAACTGTAAGGAACTATAAAATAGTAAAAATTAAGTCAACAAAAGAGAAGTAATTAAAATAAGTTTCTTACTCTGAGTGTTCCAAACAGTATTAATTTATTTTAAAAATCAGTATGACCAGCACCTAAGGAGCACAAATCCATAAACTTTGGATAGGTGCCAGGTGCTCTATCCCCAACGCTACACACAGATCGGTACACACAGAACACTTACTTTCAGCAGTGCAAGGGAAGAGATATAAACCTGTTCCGCTGTATCAACTGCGGGAGCATCTGTTGGTGGTCCCTATGAAAGGAATAAATAATTATTTTTCCCACCATTGTTATTCTGCAGTTTCTAAACATTTCCTTTTGTTTTCCATATTCCAAAACTTACAGGAAAAATGCATATATAATTGTGACTTTGTGTGCTAGATGCAGTTCTTATGAACAAAACAAACAAAAAAAAGCACACCCAAACCCCAAAGACTTCTTCACAGCACCTTCCTTCACTAGTCTATTTTGTATGACAAGTCACCTAGCCATCATACCCTGTCTCCCCCCATTCCAAAATAATACTAAGCTAAAGAGCAATCTTATCAGAATCAGTCAAATAAAAAACTGACAAGTATTGCACTGGGTACAAACCTGTTACAAGACATACAGGCTAGGAGTCAGATAAGTTTCCACTAGTCAGCCTTGCCGCAATGCTAACCTTCATCAGCTGTGAAATATGGCCAGTTCTCCAATTAACTATGTGTTTCTTACAGTGGTGTGAATGTAAATGCTGCTGGGCTAGCAAGATTAACTGGCACCAACACAAACAGCAATTTCCCTTTGCTTCATCAGCTTTCAGCTAAAGAGGACTTGCAGATAAAGGCTATGGGAGTACTTTGCAGATACACTGGTACAGTGAGAGAAAAAACGGACCTCCGATCCCTAGGTGGAAAAGCTGTGAACAAAATACTTTGCTCTTTGCCTTATGAGTAGTTATTCAAAAATTAGCACAACTGTCCCAGGTGTGAATGATTGGTTGAAACAGGTTCTCTGTACTGCTGAAAATGAAAAACACAGGAGGCAGCAGTTTAAATGTCCCTTTCTCAAGGAGCAAGAGACATATTGCTCTTACTTACAGAATTCCATATCAACGTACCTCATTACAGCCAATTAACAGTACATTCATTAATTTATTACCAAATTTTGTACAACAAATTTCCACCAAAAAGACAAAACGTTACTTCTGCACTAAGTGATGTAAACTTAGAAGGGCAATAAAGCAACTATGGAGTATAGTAAAAAAAAAAAGATACTGCACATTAAGTTAAAGGGGGAAAAAATGGTGCCTTTACACAAACATTTTGTAGATATAGGACTTTGATTCCACAGTTATAAGCAAAATTGGGCAAAAAAAGAATTTTGAGTAAATTCTTGATTTTTCACTTAAAGCGGAAAAATTCAGTACATGCATCCACATGACACCAAACAGAAGCAAAAGGAATCGACAAGCCATCACCTCCTGAAGATAAAACCAGGAACTTCAGTAATTAACATATTAAATTTGTATAGTAATTGTCATTTCTGCATACTTTCACTTTTACACACACACAGAAAAACATCACCTAGTCTTCAGAACGCTTTAAAGACAGTGAGAAAATTAAGTTGTTGGGTTCCCCCTGCCGCCAATAGCAATCAATTCCTTCTCTATCAGCTCCAGATCCAATCTTTGTATTTTGAATCCAATCCCTATATTTTGAAACTCACATACATGCACGGATCCGTGTCAACCACAACCACTTCCTAACACCTTCAAAGCTTTATTTCCAACTTTGATACGGCTGACCATCACCTCTTGATATTTGCTCTCCCTCCTTACTACTCATTGCTAATTCTTTTGTCGCTTTGGCCTTTCCATCAGCAATCTTCCAGCAGGTTTAACTTTTCACCTTCTATAATACTCTTGCCAAAGGTCCACTGTTAACCAATTTGACCTCTTCATCAAGTATTTGCCTGACTAGCCATAGCCCAACAGTGAGATGCTCCAGTGCAGAAGTGTTCCTTTAACACTTAGAACAAAAAACTCTACAAGCAGTTCTTCAGAACATTTCACAGAACCAGATACACAGGGCACCTGAATGACTTGTTCCAAATTTACTACAACTAAATTGTTTGACTGATAAAACTTCAAATGCCCAATCGTTTTCTGATACTGTTACTATGTGTTTTTTTTTCCCCATAAACATGGAAGTTTGCTTTTTAATTGTATCCCTCCTGTTTTAAGTCTATTCTAAATGATCTTCTTCTCACTTAGAAGTCTTTGGAATACTTTGGAAAGCACAAAGATTCATGTTTCCACTTAATCACTGCTAAGAATAAAGCACAGATGAGTTGTGGTTTAATTAAAATGAAAACTTACTAGTTTGAGAACAATCCCTTTCTTGATACAAAAAGCTCTCCTCCAATTTTCTACCAGTTCTAGACCAGAGAGGGTCTGAAGTGAAGGTAAAAGTACAAACACAGTAACTTTCTGCTTTAGGAAGAACTACAACATCCATGCTGTGACCACCATACATGTTCTACATTTGTCCCAGATTTTGTTTAACATTTCACTGTAAGCAAGCATTCCATTACACCATTCGGAATTTTTAAAATAAAGAATAGCATAAAAAAAAATATATCTTCCCCAAACTAGCATAGGTAGCTCTGTGATTTCTGGAAGGCCAATGCTGATGTTTGATTGAGGCTAGCTTCTCAAAAATCAGAAGCTTGAACTGAAGTTTATTCCACAGACTACGGCTCCTGAATAGGTTCCCCTATATGGAATCTCTAACGTCTGTTAAGATGGCAGATCACGCTGACACCCTTCCTGCAGCCGAGGCATTATTCACATCTCTGTCCCCTACGTAGACACCTGTGTTCACAACTTGTAAGAGTTTGTTCTTCATAACTTGTTCCATTTTAAAATCTATTTAAAATCAGTCAGTAGATTCAACACTTATAGGGAAGAGACAAAGTCAAACATTATTACATATTGTTTCTGCAACAAGGCAACTAAATTACCTTTAGTTTAAGCAAAGGTAGGAACTAAAGCAGGGTGTTACCCTACTGTACTCACTCCTAATATTTTCTTTTTCTATTCTATTATTTTTATACTCCTTGGAACTTTCAAATGCTTGTTTACCTTGGTGATGATACAGAATAGGGGATATTTAATATTATACTTTATCAATCCTTCAGGCATTCTACGAGATAAAGTAGTTTCTGTTTTCAAAAATCTATGCTAAAGCTCTCCTGCCAGCACCCGGAGCCAACAATTTATTTTCAACATAGGAAACGTTGCTAATTCACAAAGGAATGCTTCATTAGTGTAAATCAACTTACTTAGCGCCTTTTTTCTTTTTTTTTTTTAAAGCCATAGTACTCACCATGAATGATTTTGCACACTAAACATGAGTTTAAATGTATATATAAAAATGATTACACTGTTAGAAGATCTCAGGTATCTGCTTAAAGATTAGCTTCCACTCTAACCATGCAGTTCAACTAATTTACCTGAACTCTTAAAAATGGTAGTATACAATGCAAATATAATGTAAGTTTATTAATTCTCAGTCATCTTATAAAATACAGCACATAGTAAGTATTTCCTTGGTCACAAACGCCTCCTTTCTGAAGACCACACCATCTCCTTTCGCTCTGTTCTCCTTATAGATTATAATTGCTAGCTAAATTATGAGAAAAGGAAACACCTCATTGCACTGTACCAATTATGTGTATTAATTTTCATGTTAATATTTCTTTCTTCACTTTGAATATAGATTAGAATGAAATGCTCAAAAGAGTTCTGAAATTATTTTGATGTATCAATTCAGGAATTTTGAGGAGGAAAGGATCCTTAGGTCAAAACCTGTCCAGAATCCACCTTCACAACAGATTTAGTTTCACATTATTTTTCCACTAAAAATAAACTGGCACATAAAATACTACAGGCACACACTTATCTTTCTACAGAAAATCATAAACTCAAAGTTCATCAAATTCTCAACCTAAAACTTTTAAAGATTTAACAGATAAAACCAACAGAACAAATAATGGGTTTTCCAAGTAGTTTACTTGGCTTTAGATGATGCCATTTGAAAAAACAGACATCTGGAAACTGGAACCAATTTACTTCCATCTCTGACCACTTCCTTTTCCATAAACGGCTGATAATCTAACACAGCCTTGGAGTGACAGCCGCAGCTTCTGTGTGCTAGTTACACAGTACGTGGGAGCTAGCTAGGGGTTACAGGTTTTGAGATTTCTTTGGCTTGTTTCTGTTAGTCTTCCACAAAAGTTTACGTGTTTCTTTCATGAAGCAAAGAGGAAGAAACACTTTATTAGCTAATCTCTACATGGAGGCAAAGTATTTTACACTGACCCTCCACAGCATGTGCTATTATCACTGTTCATAAACTTCACTGTCTGCCAACTTTAACAAAGGAGAACCATCCTTATGAAGCAGAGTACCAAATTAAATTAACTGGTGTCAGAAACCCAAACAAGAAAGCATTTGCATCTGCAATGCAAAAGATCTGCTAGTATTTTTGGTTATACTATGGTATTCAAAGAAGGTCAGACAGTTCTGCCACTGCATAGTTTTGTATGACTGTCCATCTCACTGCAAAACAGCAAGTGGTGCCTTCATTCTGCCTGCCCATAGCTTTATTGAGCAATTTCTTGGGGAACTGGAGAAAAATGGGATTTGGAAACTGCAAGGAATATGGAACATTCTTTTTCCCCAAGTATTCCTGTATAACCTGGATAGAGTAATTACTAAAATTTAAAAACTGTTCTAAAAAAATACTGTTATTGTGCTACTTACTGAAAACGGATGCTTCTTCTGAATCAACTATACATGCTGTCAGTCAGTAAAATGAGCTGCCTGACGGCCAGCCATCTCGTAAAACCCAACCAAACTCTGGTTTTATTTTTGTTTAGAATGGCAGAATCCCAATTTCAATAATAATTGATAAAATTAAGTTACCACTGTTAAAATACATTTTATTTTTGCTTTACTTTTTTTCAGTAAGACTTGTAATGGAAAAAGACTCATATTCAATTTACAAACAGAAGATTACATTGTAATATTGAATTATGCATGATACTATTTTCGTTTCAAATGGTTAAAGAGATGATCCAATATAAAAGCAGCCCTTTACTTGGGCAGCCCTTGTTGATGAAGTGTTAAAGGCATTTGCCATTCTAACAGGATAAAAACTAACGCCTTGAAGTGTTATCTACTCAGGCCTTTTAGCAAATTTGTTAACA